GTTTGCCTTAAACAAAAACAATTTTCTTTTCAATATTCTTGTATTCAAACAATTTATTATGTTATGTTTTCAATTTTGCTTTCCATAATGTTCCATATATTCAATGAAATTTGTCAAGTTTTACTGCCTGAAATATATTAAACATTGAGTGATTTTACATTTTCTCCCTAGACCAGAGGATCTGTTCCGATGTTTTGGTCTCAAAGACCAAATTTAAAGTACAAACCTAAACCATTGTTGAGTAATACACAAAAACAGGTGAGAAGTTTATCATCTTGTAAATTATATCATTTTTAAAGTCAGAGTTTTCTTGTTCATTTAAAATCAAAAGCCGTTGTGAGATTGAAACCCGAGTACCGGGGGTAATACGTTGAAATAAATGTTAAACCTAGGGGTTCGTCACGATAACAACACACGCTAAAAACGCAAAGACTCATGGGTAGACACTTGTTTGTAAACAACGACGCGCTATGGTCATTCGTCGCATGCATAGGTGACGACTTCCTCGCTTTAAACATTTGTGTAGTCTATATGATGAGATACGAAGCTTGTTAAGATCTTCGAACTGCTGTAAAAGCATCACCTCAGAATAGAAAACATACAAAAACCATGCATATCACTGCTAGTGGGATTCAAAGTCATGCACCTTTGATTGAGGAGTTTCCTCACATTCTAGTTCACCAGCACAGTCCACTTGACTAGTAAGCTACTACCGTAAAATCTGTATTGGAAGCCGCACAGATTTTTTTTGAACAATTGAAAACCAAAAACTTGCCATTCCTCGTATGTTTAGATGCTCTAATAGAAGCCACAACGTCTCTGTTGCATTGTACAATTTTAATAGAAGGCGCAGTTTCAGTATTTGTTGTTTGGCATTGGTCTGAAATTTGCAATAATCCATATTCATAATTTTTTTTTCTAGTTGGATGGATTCCAGAGGCATTTTGACAGTCAGATTGTGAATTATGGTAAACAGGTTATTATAAACTTGGTGAGTTTCTTGTAAACAGTCATACACAGACGCCCCTTGTCTATTCATTGAGTATAGGAGATCAATAGTCTGTCAAAGTATCTACTGCCCTCTAGTGGTCCTACATCTAGCCATGTGGCATTCCACTTGCTATAAGTGACTCTACCTCTACCTTGCTATGATGTATATATAGTAATATCTTATCAGAGTCAGCTATTGACTGAATTTTATTGCTTGAATAAAACTAGGGAATGAGCATAGACTTTTTATTTCTTGAGATGATGATCACAGTGTGTGATGTGAATGGGTAATAAGACATTACTAGTTTTTATTGCTAGAAAATGACTCTGCTAGTACTTCATTAAAATCTGCTCTTTCTTTGTATAGTTGGATCATAAAGGTGCTGAAGACAAATTAGAGAAAGCTTTTGCAAGATATGTTTATGAAACCGGAAACAACTCTCTTAAGTAAGACATATGTTCTTTGTTATGGGTTTCATCCAACAGGTACACGGAAATCATAGAACACAGATACATGTTGTCTCTTAGTAATTCCAAACAGGATGGCTGTGGGATTTGAACAAGAGACAACATTCAATTAAATAGTGCCAACGTGGGTTGAATTATACTCTTGTATTTTACACATTGTGTTCACCAATTATTCAATTTACCAAATTAATGTTGTCGTATTTACTCTCCACTGTGTATTCTTAGTGTTTATATCTCAACATTCATATGATGTATTGTATTTTGCAGGTATGAAGCTTTTGATTTCCATTATGAATGTAGGCGAA